TGATCGTGGTCATCAAAGTAGAAGAAACCACTAAAAAGCAACAGCATTAAGAGGAACCGCAGCGGCAACAGCAGAAATGGTACTGTAGTAAAGCAGCAGGGGCAGCTTCTATTGCTTCTGCTACTGCTTCTGCTACTGCTGCTGCTGCTGCTGCTGCTGCTGCTGCACCACTGCGCCACCAAAGATTGTGGTAGCAGTAGTAGTAGTAGTAGTAGCAGCAGCAGCAGCAGTAGCAGCAGTCGTCGTCGTCGTCCTGGTGGTGGTGGTGGTGGTGGTGGAGGTGGTGGTGGTGGTTGCAGCAGCAGTAGAAAGAAGCAGGAGCAGCAGCAGCTAGTTGTTGTTACCAGCGGCAGGCTGTGGGAGCCGCTTCACACGAAAGTCCACATGCATCGGCAGCAAAACGCTCGCTTCGGACGATGCCGCCCATAGTTTTGAGGGGCCCCTTGTTCGGGCCCAGAGTGCTATCTAGATCTATCTCTTTATATATATAAATATATGCATGCATGCATACGTACATACATGCATACATAGCTACGTACGTAAGTGCGTACGTTCATGCATACAGACATACGTCTGTATGTGTGTATGTACGCATGTTTGTATGCCTGCATGCTGCTACGTCCGCATGCCTGCATGTCTCTGTGTCTGTTTGCTTGTCTGTTTGACTGCATGTATGCGTGGTACAGTAATGTCATGCAGTCCAAAAGAAAATACCTCGTATTTCGCAATCTATATATACGTATACAGAAATACGGGAATGCACATGAGTTTGGTGCATGTACCTATCTATGCACGTATGTCGGAGTGTGCGTATGTATATATGAGCCGCTTTGGCGACTGGCTGTATGTGCCCATAGCCGGCTTTCCCGTGTTCAAGCCATTTGGACTGAAGCCGCATGGCCACTCGTCAGAACTGGGATCTCAAATTCAGACGTGATGGACACAGCACCATGGACAGCAGTGATTCGTCAAGCTGGGCCACATGTTGGAGTAGTGTTCCGCCAGGTTGGCCTGGAGTTCTTCGAGGTCCTTCCGGCAAAATCTTTCGAGGATTTGGATCACTTAGAAAAGGACTTTGAAAGGGAGGAGTTCAGGCCAAAGTTTTGGGGACCCCTGTTGGGCTTGGAAGCTTATTTGCCAAAGTCACGACGGCCTTTGAGCATCAGTCTTTGGAGGTCTGCCTTTGGTTGGGGTTCACGAATGTCAAGTCATCACGAACAGAAGGAATTACCCAAAGCTTTGCAAGAGCTTAGGGTCGCGCTTTCTGCTATGAAGTGGCTGTGGATCTTCATCAAGTGAGAGGGCCGATCGGCTGCTTAAGGAAATTTATGTCGCCAAAGCCGAAGCGATTCATGCAAAGAGAACCGAGCAGAACAAGTAGTCTGCAAGGGTGTTTTCGCAGTCGGCTCAGTTTGGGAGAAGGTGGGGCAACCAAGAACCTTTGACGTTGCTTCGGGGGGTTTCCGGACATCCAAAAGTTCACCACTGATGGTTCAAGGTCTTAGAGATGTCTACTTACCGTCTGAAAAGCTCGAGCGCTCCAGAGTCAGCTTGTGAGCATTGACCAGTCTTGGTCAAGCTCGGGCTTTGAATATGTCGTGATTTATGAAAGGAGTGATACTTGTTGTCCCCGGAGCCTGAAACCGTGCGTGGAAAATCCGAAACTGTAGCCCAGGGCTCCTCCCTCCGCGGAGCCGCTTGGGCAAGGCGACGGCGCTTGGAGATGAACCTTGAGGGCTTGTCTTCTTGCTTTTTGCGGCTCTCAAAGTTCTGTTTGAAACCTCCCGCGGGCATTATGGAGTGATCGTCTTACTGTATCTAGTGAGTCTACGATCTTCGTTTGGGCGATCTGCTTCACTGCTCTCTGACTCCGTCACGATGACGCTCCAAAATTCAACGCAGGATATTCGAGCTTCATGACTGAAGGGCCCTTCGCAGCCTAGAAGGATCCCAACATCGAAGACGGAGTGAAAGGGCACTGTGCTCCCATGGTTGGTGCCTCAACATGCTAGCCTGTTTGACGACCCGGCCCAGTATCCCTTAAAAAAACATGCCGGCCCAGGGAACTCCTGGCCCTTCCGGAGCTTGGTCTGCTTTGCGACGGTCTTCACAACGCCCCTCGCCTTCGAGCCACAGGTTCATCTTAAGGGACAGAAGAGCCTGAAAGCCTCGAGCAAATCCAACCTTCAAGCAGGCCCGCCCCGGCAGCCCTCGACTCCAAAGCGTTCTGAACAGGTTCATCCACAAAAGGCATATACCCGCCAAAGATTGATTCTTTTGTGTACTTCGGGGCTTCTTCATGAACAGGTGGAGAGTTCTTGTTTACCCTTTCCTTTGTTTGAAGAGGGGGGCAAGGATGGCTTTTTATCTGGGGGAAGTAGAGCAGGGTGGGGGGTTGCGGGGTGCGGCGCGGGAAGGTAGCAGGGCAGGGCAGGCTAGGGCAAGGGCAAGAGCAAGGGCAAAGGCAGGAATATTAAATCTGTGGAATAACTACAGTCAAAAAAACCGGCCATGTATTACTTACATTTCATGAGATACAAGGAGTAAAGTACAAAACAAAAACGTTTGGATTCTCATGTTATTCAAAATATATAACTAACATATTCAATACATGTAAGATATATTTACTATGTATTTTCTATATTTGATACATTTAAAATAGGTCGGAACCTCAGGCAACTATCTCGTAGGATCTTTTATATTTATTGTGCATATTCTTCTGGATTGAACCAACAGAGTTTCAAAAAGCGCTGTTTAAATCAAAAATGCTTGGAAAAACATATTTTCCAGAAGGTTTCCCCTATTTTAGAAATTATAAATGTAGTTGATAAATCGGCAGCATTCTGTTTTAACTATTGAATTTGTACGTTTTCTGTGTGAAATGAGTGGGTAAACCCGGTTGGATTGTCTCTAATTTAACATTGACTCTATTCTATATATTACATACATTCCATATATTTCATAACTTCAACATATCTAGGTTACTCATGATTGGAGGAGCTTCTCAAACAAAATGCGTTAGTTATTCTGTCTGTGTTCATTGTATATATTTTCGGTATTAGACAGATGTAAGAAACAACCAAAATTTCAGAAACAATAGTTGAAACACACAATAAAGTTAGAAAACACATAAAACAAACACGACGGGGCACCCTGCAAGTGCGCTTTTCCGGACTTTAGTGCTGTATTTTGCAGTATCATGCAACATTCAATCTAAGAGGTACACTCCGGCAATCTTCCGACTGCCTGTTAGTCGAACACCTCTGATTTGTCTTGCAGTTTAGACCCCGGAAGAACAAGAAAACACAAAAGAACCAAAAAAATCTCCGAGACTCTTGCAGATTGGACACCCTACGGAAATGGCTTGCTCATTTTGTTTGGTGTTTTACATATTTTCTGTGTCAGCTAAACGCTGCAGAATACAGAAAAAAAATTAAATCGGTTTCATGTCTTTTCGAAGTGTTTCGAATAATTTCTTTAATTGAAATGTTATATATATACATATATATTTTTCCAAAGTATGTGCAATGTCATTTGGCAAAAATGCATCCTAGAGGTATCTCTCCCTCTTGACTCTATATATATATATACTCATATGTATATAAACTCATATGTATATAAGTTATATACACATCATAGTATGATAACATAGTATGGTATATCATGGAAAAATATTACATAATACAATACAGTATAACAAATCATAAATAATGTAATTACACAAAATACAACAATGAAAAACAATACTAATATTCTGAACACAATATAACTTAAGCTAAATTGCATTAAAAGTGCAGATGTATCTATATATATATATACACGCATACATACACACATACATACATCGTTTCATATCATACAAAATGTGTCCTATCATAAAATATAATGTACTCTAGTACACTCTAATATAATACACTATAGCCTAGCATAGTAAAGTATAGTATAGCATAGTAAACTATCGAATTACATAGTATAAAAAAGTGTGATATAGTGTGACATCGCATAATGTAGTAAAGTATGATACAGAGTATTACATATATATATATATATCACAGTATTAACAGAACAGAACAGGTAAAACTATGCCAAACTATAACAGGATAACATTTTACAAGCCACTATTATGTAATACCATAGAATAGAAAGTGTATAACACAGTTTAGAATAAAATGAACATAACAGAATAGGTGTATATATCTGTCTATATATAGATATATATATACGTAATATAATGTATAATAAAGAAATGCTCGATGCCTATAATTGTATCACACACAGCACAATCATTCAATAAGTTATTCTTAGTGTATAATACGAACTAAGAGTGGCAAAAATGACAAGGCATAAAAAAAAATGACCTATCTTCAGACATTATGTCACATGGTAATTTGACATAAAAAGCTAACTTAAACAGCATCATCAAATAGTAAGACATAACCTATTATGACAAATTGTAATGCAGCATAGGATGATATGACATACCATGACAGAACAAACGCGAACAAGTAAACGTATGTGTATATGTATGCACGTATTTTTTCATAAAAAAATATGTACATGTACATGTATATGCATATGTATATGTATATGTATATGTGTATGTGTATATGCATGTGTGTATAACATAGTATGAAAAAAAATAAGCTGTAAAATTAAAACCTACTCACAAAACCGAAACGAACTCGATAGATGATACACTGAGTGATAAAAAATAGTGTAATGGTATTGGAATATTGACTGTCTACAAAAGGGATTTTCGAATTATGCAATGAAACAACCGCGACAGCAAAAGTCGTTGCAAGTATATGCTGAGGTTCAGCAGACAAAGCCCGACCCCACGAACCCACAAAGCCTCCACAACGTTTCGAGGGCCTCAACCCCAAAAAACACAAACCCTCCAATCTGTCGAACTTGTCCCGGCTCCAGAACCCCTATAAGGTTTGACCTCAACCACAGAAAAAGGACGCACAAAACGCAGGCCCGGTCGCGGGCGCTGCAGCCTTGGACAGCTGCGGCTTCTTGGCCGCTGCTGCAGCCCTTCGCGGCGTCTGGTCCACCTGACAGGGAGATGGTGGTGAAACCTGAGGAATTGCAGCCCTGCATTTCCGCCAGAATGCTTAGCCAAGCTGGCACATGCCCTCAAGCTTTTATAGGCGGTAAAGTTACAAGAAAAACACTTCAATGTCCAACGATGCGATCATCAGAATCAGGGAAATCATCGTCATATGTCGTCATCACGTGAAACATCCTAGGACAATCTGCACGGGCTTTACCCCTGCCGTGTCAGGTCCTGTGCATCCCAAGAGAAGAAGGCGGATAAGCTGGCCCCAGCTCCTGCTCGCTGGAACCGTGAAACCTAAACCCTACAACCTCAAGCCCCATGGCCCCCAGACGATCATGGGGCTTCCAATGTCCTAAGTCATCTGTTCCCGGCAGGCCCCACCTGCAGCCGCTGCTGTGCAGAGCTGAGGTGCGCGACAAGGGAGCCTGAGGAGAGACAAAAATGGCGAGGGCTTCCAAGTTTCATTCATCCCTGTTCTCTCCAGCTGTCCTGGCTTGTAGGGCTGCCCTCTGCCAGAGATGAGAGGTAAGGCACCGCAAGTCCAGCTTTTCTGGTCCATTTTGGTTTCTTGACCTTCCGACTCCAAACTTCGTTGTCCTCATTTCAGGGCAGACTGGGTGGATGTTCGGTTCGTCGGCGTTGGAAATCAACTCTTCACATTTACAGCGAGCTACCTCCAAAAAAATTCTAGGTCTTCGCCTCCCAGGTTCTCTACGCGAAGAAATCTGCACCATCTTTAACATGCCAGGTGTATCGACCCTCGAGCCCTCAATTGTTCAAGTTTGACTGCTAGGGACGTCCGGCATGTGCTGCAAATAAGCCTGGAGCTGGGGCAAGCTTGCAACCGCAAGCTCTGAACTTCGCCACGTGCCTGTGCCTCTGCTCCATAGACCCTGAACAGCAACCAGGAGCTTCAAGCCCCTCTTATTCTGCAAGGGGCCCAGAAGATTGCGCCCCCGCTGCTTCTGGGCTCCGTCCTCCACCTGCCGAACTGATCAGATGTGAATTCATGCATGTGCGAAGAACAAGGACGCATCTGGTCGGCGGCCATCGTCAACTTGGGCAACAGGAAAAATTTTTCCCTGATACTCAGGTTGAGATACGTAGGACTTAGGCTGTTTCCAATATGAGCGAGTGGCCGAGCGAGCGAGGGAGGGAGTCAGCGAGCGAGTGACTGAGAGCAAGCGGGGGCGTGCGGGCGGGCGGGCGGGCGTGTGGGCGGGCCAATGTATGGGGATGTGTGAGTGGGGGTGGGAGGATGGGACAAGGTGTCGGTGGGTGGGCGGGCAGGGCGGCGGGCGGGTGGGCGGGCCATGCGAAAAAGGCACGAGCCATGGGCAGCCGCGCGGAAGCAGGCACGCTTCTCCACAAATCCTCTTGTGGATACTAAGTGCACGACGCCGCCCATGAGCTCCCTGGGACTCACTCATTCACCACCGTCTCCTGTGAAGACAAGAGGGAGTGGCAAACTGTTGCCATCCTCCTGCGAGCAGGTCCCATCTCACAAGGCCCTCGAGGGGAGAAGGCCAAAGCTGCGGCCAAAACCCACCCCGGACGAGGGTGATTTCAGCAGCAGTAGTAGTTTTGTCACCCACTTGGCACGACTGCGTCAGCACTGCGGGGCCACAACGGTCACGAGGTAGACTAAGAGGCGACAGATCACATCGGAGATATGCACACCCAAATAATTAATTACCTAAAGAAAGCCAGCGAAAGTACTTCGCCTCTAGTGGAAAAGCGGAAAGCTCGACATGCGTCAGTTTCGCGAGCTTCTTCCAGACAGCAAGGAACAACTACCGAGCCTGGTGCGCTGCTTACAAACAAAAACCATCAGGCCATAACCAAAAGTCAGCAAGACCAAATAGCATCTTTCGCAGCTCACAAGACCCCAAAATTTCTCAACCTGAAGAGACTGCCACTGCACGAGTTCGCTATACATTGCCCTACGTTTGTTCCGGAGGTAAGCCGAGCACAACAACCAAGATAAGGAGAAACCCTTTACAGGCTCAGCACAGCAATGCCCCGAAAACCCATTTGGCCTCCCCTCCATCAAAAGTTTTCTCGTGCAGGCATTAAACGACATCTACCAGAACATCCAGCAGAAAGAGAAGGCCCTACAGTTACACCAAGGGACATGCAAGTAAATTCCCAGTTCACAGTTCGTGTTTCTCAGTACAGCATGCAGCAAGGACAGCAAGTTAATTATGGCAGGATTATCAGGCGGCTCACTGTAGCGGGTATTCCAACCAACTGGAGGGGAGGCTCATGTGTTCTCCGCTGAGCAGGGTTCCATTCCTGCTTGCCACGTGAGCTCCTCATACTGGCTCAGAGGTTGCCAAGGCAAGATAGCAAACATGCATCAGCCAGTCCAGTGATTTTTGTGCCCCTGTAACGTTTGATCCCGCAAAGTAGTAGTAGTAGTAGTAGCAGCAGCAGTAGTAGGAAGGGCGAAACTCATTGCTGTTATTTGCCGCAACTGCTGCTACTGCTACAACGACGACAACCACGTGTGCAATACCAGCACTGGGTCGCATGAAAGTGTTTGCCCACGAGCCCACCTGCCTCGACATCTACCCGGCGCAGCAGCTTAGGCCGCGGAGCTCGCGCCAGCTCCTTTGAGACAGAACTGCGAAACAGCAAGGACTTACTCCTGCGAAGTCTGAGGGTGGTGAACACCATTGCCGGCCAAAGCCGTGTTCAATCCGGAATACACCTGCAACCCAACTTCCAAATACCCCTTCGCCTTCACCATTGCTAACACAGGTGCGCAACCTTTTCAATCCAATACTAATACACCCCGAAAGCCCCAATCTTCTATCGCCTTCTTGGCATCATGAACTATCATGAACACCCTGGGAAGGCTGAGAATGCCAGTTGTTCTCAGCCGCAATCTTTCACGCAAGGCCCAGTCAGAAGTCTCGTAAGTCAGCGGTTCTTTCTTTTGAAGAAAAGAAACAAGCAAAACATGCGTAAAACTTGTAGAGTTCTCCAGCACTGAATGCTCGGGCGACAGAGTGCCGTTGGTGGGCGAGTTGACGGCACTGGGCTACAGATTTTGCCGTGAGCACACCGAATGCTCTTCTAGAAGCTGGAGCACGACTTCCATGGTTGGCCCATGGGTGCTGTGGTACTCGGATGGGGCCCGACTGGACGCTGTCATGGTGGGACCGTAGATGCGGTCTGAGTGGGTGAGACCGATACCATGGTTCGCTCATGCATGCGCTGTGGAACAGATGCGCATGCAAGTGCACTTTATTATAGTCAGGCGGATTTCCTACGACTTAACAGCTGGGACGACGGGAAAATCTAAAAGCTCCAACCCAACCTGCATCTTCAAGCCGTATTTAACCCGACGCTACCAACGCCATGGGACCTCGGTGTTAGAAGTCGTCGCGACCACCAACTTCGCCCGAGGCTTTGCGATGGACCCTTGGCGTGACGGTTCAGTCCCCTTGCTTGCGATGAGTCTTTCTTTTAGTCTGCGCTAGGTTTTGCATTGCAAGGCCTGCATCAATCAAGCGAGCCAGTTTTTTTGGCCAAACCTCACGGCAGCCTGGAAAAAGACTGATGCTTCCCCTGGCAGGCTCTAAGACAGACTTACGCCCTCACAACTCGGACAAGCCAGGCGTGGTCTCAAGTCTAACACCGATTTACGTCCTTTTGAGCTAACTCTGTACTCTGTATGCTGGAAGGTTCTCACAGAAAAGAGATTCACTCCCGAGAACATGCAACAACCAAAAACTGCAACAACCTGCCAAAGAAACCAACCCCCCTGCGATACATACATCTACATGTTGACTCGTCTAGAAGACATGCAGCATTTTAGAAGCTGTGTCAATGTCCCCACTTGTAAACTACACCATACACACAAACAATCATATCTAAAGTCTGTCTTTTCTGGTAGAAGGAAAATACAATCAACACTCGGAGGGTAAATCAATGCTCTGCACGCACTCAGTCAGAGCAACCCAGCAGTCTTATTTAACCGCCCCTCAAATCTAACTTCAGTCAGACATACTCATAAGTAGACAAACAGGCAGATACCGAGGCAGACAAGTGTGATAACTTCGGCATTGCTTCGGTTGTAATTTGCAGCCAGATGTCTAGCATTGTGCAACTTTAACTGGCAGGGAGGGGCTGTTGCAGAAGGCAACCGAAAGGCAGAGACAGAGAGAGAGAGTTGTGTATCTTCGCCATCTGTGTTAGATTATTTTCACCGGTCGACATTGTGATCACACACGGGCCTGTATAAGCTTGTGCCAAACTGCCAGACATGAGCCAGTGCAACTGCCAGTCAGTTTACTTGCGCATCTGTACGGATGTGCGCTGCGTCGCACGTAGACGTCGATCTGCTCAGACCATCCAATTGAAGCCAGGTCTCCGTCAATCTTGGTCACCTGCATTCTCTGGAGGATCTGGTAAACGGAACACTTCCCCCCCCTCCAACTCCAAAGCAACCGCCGAAGGAGCCCAGCTTAAGAAAAGCGATCTGCTGATCCCCGCCTTAGCAACATGAAAGAACCCCACTTCATCCCTTGGCCCAAATCTGCTGAATGTAGTCAACCAATCATCAAGCCGTGCCGGTATCGATCGTCCCACGCAGCTAAAACATACATGCCCGATATACTGCAGCCCTGTCTTCAGCCCATTGCTCACGGACACAAGATGCAGATACAAACGCCATCACAGACACTGACACTCGCAGACACACACACACACACGCACACAAACAAACACCAGCAATTAGGTCTGAAACCCTAGCTGGCACCATGAAGACTTGAGCATCTGCAAGGCAGGATGCAGTTGCGGAGCAGAGTAATGGTTCATTCAGTGGGAAGTGACTGGCTACGGACCTTCTTTCTATCATGTGTGTACGTGTGTGAGTGAATGTATGTCATAATGTATTAGTGCATGTGTATACGTATCTCTCTCTCTCTCTCTCACACGGACTCAGTATCTGTCAGCCACACATGCGCATACGTACACGTATACGTACATGTGTATGTATCTGTATTCGCATACATATATACATACATATATACATATACATATACATATATGTATGTGTATATATATATATGTATATGTATATATATATATATGTATATATATATATATGTATATATATATATTGATTTATCTATTTATCTATGTATTTATGCAACCATATCGTTGTGCGCTGTGCGTTCTGCCCCCGCCCCCCACTCCGGGGAGGGGGGATGATCACATGAACCAAACCAGCCAAACATTCCACACGCAAGCTCAAGGCCC